TCCTGCTGATATCCGGGAGCTTGGGGCTTTCAGGTCTGTGAGAGGCAGGATCCTGCTGGGCTAGGAGCCAACTCTCAGGCTTCAGGACATCCAGGGATTAATGTCGGGGTCAGGAAGGGTTTTCCTTCCCCCTAGGGGCAGCACAGCATGAGGGGCATGTGCCCTTGCATGGAGGCAGCGCTGAGGATTAGGGCAGAAATGACTTGAACCCCTTTGGAGGGAAGGGGCCCAAGCCTAGGGAGTGGCCTGGGGAGCTGGCGGGCAGCTCCGTGGGGCCATGCTCCAGCCTCACCCCCAGCATGCCCAGCACCAGTAGCCTGGGCTTCCAGGCTGGATGCCCGTAACCACATCCCAACACTGCTTGCCCTTCCCTGGGGCACACAGGACAGCCCCAGTCCCCTGGCTGCAGTCGGCTCCCGCACTGGGCAGGGGTGTCAGACCTGGGCGGAGGTAGCTGGCACAGAGATGCCAGCTGCCATGCAACCCTGGCTTTGGGGAGGGGGGATGCTCTGTGTCTGTGGGGGGCAGAAAAGGGTGAGCAATGTGGGGGAGGGGGGAGAAGGGGGAGCTAGCACCCCCGCATCACCTCCGTTGGGGAAGAAGGAAGGGAAAGCATCTCCAAGCTTCAATTAAAAGGGGATAGGACTGGGCTGGGGGATAGGAGGGGAGGGGGAGAGCCTGGCTGGGACTACCAGTGGGAAGAGGAGGAGTTTCCCGGGAGGGGAGGGCAGAGGGAAGGAGGAGAGGGAGGTGGGGGTGAATAGGAACGGAGAGAGGGGGTTAACGGAGAAGCTGCCGGGCAGCCTGGCTCCTGCCCCCCCAGCTCCGCTGACGCTTGGCGCCCACGCACTGCTGCTCATGACACCTCCAGATGCCTTCGCTCGGAGCCAGAGCCGGGCTGAGCAGAATGCTAAGAGGCTGCCAGGAGCAGACGGGCGAGGGGCCGGGAGGGAGGCTCCACGTAGCCTGGAGGGAATGGGGGGTAACCCCGCCCTGGCACTCAGCCATGCCTCTGCCCAGCCCCCTGGGGCTCTGGGCTGCTTGCCGGCCGAATCAGGGCCGTTGCTGCCCAGCCTGCGATGGGCATGGGCAGAGGGCTTGGTCCAGCTCCCTGCGCTTCCCTCAGAGGCAGGATTGGGCCGGTGCATGTCCTAGATCCCACCTACTCCAAGCATCTCGCCCCCTGCGTAATCCTCTGACTCCAGCCTCACCCAAGCCTGGACCACTTGGCCATCGAGGAGGCTCCAGGTCCAGGGTGAGGGCCTGGCACCATCTGCCGGGAAGAGCCAGCGCGCCTGGGCCACGGGGATACGCTCCCACCATCCATCCGCAGCAGCGAGCAAAACCAGAGCAGCCCCGAGGCTGCTCTAACGTGCAGCAGGGCGCGGGCAGGTTGCCCCAAGTGCATTCACCACGACCTGGGCAGGTTGCCCCAAGTGTGTGCACCAGGACCCGGGCAGGAACGCTGGCTCAACCGGCCTCCTCCCAAACCCCGAGCCCACCCCCGAGCCCGGGCAGGGGCAGCCGGAGGGGGCTGCGGGGCTGGTATGGGCTTGCAGGGCGGTGGGAAAGCATGGCAAAAGGAGCAGGTGGCCCTCCCGGGGGGGCTCCCAGCTCCTGGCACAGGTCCGAGGCATGCGGGCGCAAACCAGACCCCGCAGGCGAGCGTGCGCAAGGGGGGCCTGCGCCCTCCAGGCCGGACCCGCCTGCCCCTCTGCCCGCAGAGACGTGGACCGCAGACACGCTGCGTGTGGCAGAGCTCCCCGTGCCCGGGGCTCCCATCGCCAGGCCCGCAGTGCCCTCTGCTGGTGCCACGGGGCTTTCCGTGTGCCCGCACACACCAGCACGTGGGCACACGTCCACCCCGGCACGGTGCCGATTCTGGACGGAGCCTAACGAAGGCCGCCGTTTCCCGGGCCTCTCCCGCTCGTCGCCCCCGTGCCCGGGCTTCTGGGGCGCCCCGAGCATGAGGCCTGGGGCACAGGGAGTGCCCCGGGTGGGGGCAGCTGGGTGGGAAGAACAGGGGGGTTCATTCCCATGTTTCCCGTTCCTTCCACCCCCCCAGGCAAGAGGTGGGATGCGGGGCCTGGCGGGAGCCACGTCCTGGGGCGCAGGTGGTAGATCTGACGGGCACCCAGTGGTGCCCAGGGGCTCTTTCCGACGGGCACCCAGGGGTGGGCTGGGGGCCGCTGGCTGCACCTGGGACTGCCGTGGGAAGAACAGGGGGGTTCATTCCCATGTTTCCCGTTCCTTCCACCCCCCCAGGCAAGAGGTGGGATGCGGGGCCTGGCGGGAGCCACGTCCTGGGGCGCAGGTGGTAGATCTGACGGGCACCCAGTGGTGCCCAGGGGCTCTTTCCGACGGGCACCCAGGGGTGGGCTGGGGGCCGCTGGCTGCACCTGGGACTGCCTGAGCCGCAGAGGTGACCCTACAATAACACGGGTTGCGAGGAACTACAGCCCCCAGCAGCCTCCGCGGCCCACCAGCCTCACTCTGGGCACTACAGCACCCAGCATCCTCCGCGGGCCAGCCAGCCTCGCTCTGGGCACTACAGCATCCAGCATCCCCCGCGGGCCTACCCGCCTCGCTCTGGGCACTACATAACCCAGCATGCCCCTCACGCGCCGCGCTTCCTTCCGGAGCATTGTGGGCCTCGCAGTCCGCCCGGCTCCCAGCCTGCCCCGCGCCGCTCGCCCTTGGCGCTCGCTCCGGTCCGGTCATGCTGCCCGCCC